GCTCCCCAGCCCTGCACCGGGTGCTGCCACCATGAGCTCTGGTGTGCAGTGCTCGCCATGGCAGTTACAACCCTGCACTTTTATAAATCGCTGTCTTTCGGGGAAGGGGCCGTGCCAGATCACGTTACATCCTTCCTTCAGCCTACGGGCGCAGCTGCGAGGCTGCCTGCTGGAGGCCCTGCCTGTGCTGCCCCCAAAGTCTCTTACTTTAGCTTGATTGTAGCGATTTCTTGTTTTTTCCAGTCTTTTCTGTGCAGGCTGCATGGGATGTGTCCCTGCTGGAGAGCTCTCCCATCTCAGCCCTGCTTCATCTTCCTCTGCCCCAATACACTGATCATCTGCTCCCTCACCAGGGCAGCACTTAAACAGCCAGAAACTTTTCCATCCGGCCGCTTTTGAGCAAAGCAGAGGCTTTCCATGGCATTGTAGGGGTGGGATTCATGGCTGCAACAAACCCTTAACTGGGAGAGCCCGGGGATGCGGGGAGCATGTGGGGCTGGGGCTGCCGGAGGCTGCTCACAGAGGGCTGGCAACAACGGGCACGGTGACAGCGAGGGGACTTCTGCCTGTGCAAAGACAGGAAAGCGGGGGTGGTGTGTGGCAGACCCACCTGGGGCAGCTTCGGCTTGTTTTGGAGTTTGCCCTGATGTCTTTTTCCATGTTATCGCGATGTCTCCCCAGGAACGACAGCGTTTGGAGAAGTCTCAAGGGTTTTGCCTAGAAAAGCGAGCCGAGGAGGGTTTATCTCATGCTCAGCTGAATTGCCGTAAATGGGATAACAGCTGGCTGGATGTCGAGTTAATTTGTACCAATGGTCATTTAAAGTGTTTGCCAAAGCTTATGGATAAGAGAAGTATTTATGCAAGCTGTTGAAGTGTCTCGGCTCTCTCTCCAGTTCCAGCTGGTAAGGACTGGGCAGGACAGGGTGGGTACAAGGTGGTGTCGATACCAGTGTGTGGGATTTCCATCTGGGACCTGGTCCCGCATGGTCTGTGTGCAGGGTGGTCCTGTGAGCACAGATGGGGTCATTTTTTTTTTTTTTTTTAATATTTATTTATTAAGAAACCCAGTCTGAAAAAAAAAAAAAAGGGAGAGAAGATTTTTCTGGGAGGTTTTTGGGTGATGAATTGGCCCATGGCAATGCCCACCAGCAGAGCTGGTAGCACAGGTGGTAGAAAGAGGATGGCCTGTGGCTGCAGCCTTCAGCCCGGTGCATCATTTTTGCAATCTCTTTGCTTTTGTAAATGAGACCTAATGAAGTCATTAACATTGTCACCCATCTGTGCTGGCTGCTTTTCAATGCAAATCAAAGATGTTTAGCCAGATCTGCCGAAACCTCGTGACTTGGGCTTTGCATGGGTGAGATAGCTCAGAGAACCGTTTGAACTGCAGAGGATCTTGCGTGTGTTGGAGCCCAAAAAAAAGTCACAGACTCCTTTGGTGGGGATCTAGGTCACACATGCTTCTGTCTTGAGGCAGAACAGCGATTTCAAGTCATTTCTGCCCCTGCTTGTGTTTTTCCAAGCAAAATGATGTGGGTTAACCTGTCCTTACAGTCCTTTATTCTCTTTTTCCCCATGGAAAAACAGAGGGGGGACAAATGGGGATGGGGGAGTGAAACCTTCACCCACGCCAATGGTGACAAGCAGGAAAACACGTGGTGCCAGGGGTTTGAGGCGAGGGGCTGTGCTCCCCTCCTGGCCCCAAACATGATGCTCTGGCCATGCCCGCTCCCCTCCCCGTGCATCCCTGTCCCCATCCCCGTCCCCTGGCTGCTCCAGGGCCTCAAAGTGAAAACTAATCCTGGGGGATAACTTTCCACCCCACTCCTGGGTGGGAGGAACAGGGCTATTTATTCCTCGCCCTTAAGCCTCCACAGCGGATCAGCGATGCAGTTGTCGCTGCCGGCGCGGGGTGGGCAGCAGCATCCGTCACGGCCCTTGCCTGCTCCCGCGCCCTCCTGCACGCTCTCAGCCGGCCTCGCTGCTAAATAAGGATGAAAGGCTAAAAATAGAGCTGAGGCAGGGGTTTGGACAAGCTGGGCAACCCTTCCCGGGGCCGGGAGGCTGGCCAGCGTCAGCGTATGAGGGAGAGCCGAGCTGCCCGCGGGGAAGGGTCCCACGTGTGCGTCCTAACTGTGCTGTGGCGGTGGGGGGGAGGTCTGAGACCTGCCACACTCGTGTCCTGTGTGCTCAGTTGGCTCAGCCCCTTCCAGCTTTTCACAGAAAAAAACCATCTGTTCACCAAAATATATGGGAGAACCCACGCTCCTGTGCCACCCGTGAATGTGGGGTCCCGTGGGGCCATTCCAGCGCGACGGGGGGG